CCAAATAGTCCCTCGTCGAACTGTCTGAATCCCAAATGTCAAGTCTGGATCCAATGTCGTAAAGTCTCAAGTCACAACTCTGTCTCTCTCTGTCGCAGTCTGAGAAGTCAGGTGGCGAGAGGGTGAGAAGAGAAGGTGGACTTAGAAGAGGAAGAAGAAGAACTCTCTCTCTCTGTGTCCAGTACTAACCTGTGAAGTTGGCGCCTTGATGCAGGTACCACAAAGATGGAGCTGGAGCAATGGCGCCACAGGTAAGTAACACTGGCCTCCGCCAGTCTCTCTCCCACTCTACGATCTATTACCTACCAGCGCCCAGCGCTGAAGACTACAGCTACAGCTATGGCRCCCAGCRCCRAAGACTACAGCTAGCGCTACCACTACTGCCTAGCGCTGAAGACTACTGCAGCGCTCCTCCTGAGTGCTGCGGCCGAATCCTGAAGACTACCTCCGCCTACTGACACTAACTACCCGTGAAGTGCATGGGAACCTCCTATGTACTACGGGTGTGCCTCTTGAGCCTGCCGAAGGGAGGCAGGGGCTGCAGCTGCAGCTCCTGCTCGAGAGGAACAGGCTATTTTGGGCCTGTTCCGCATCCCTGTTTCCGTGCCTGAGTCTTAGGAGCAGGTCGAAACAATGAGGGCCTGAAAATGGCCCTCCGTTTCAGGCTGAAAACTCTGGGTCTGAAAAGACTCAGAAATAGGCTGAAACGAGGTAGGGCCTGCAGGCCCTCGTTTTTCAGCATCCAGGCTGAAATGAACGGGACAGGCCCTGTAGGGCCCGTGTGGCTACGCAGTATGCCACACACACACACACCTGCCCGCCCATGTGCACGCGCACACGCATGCACACATGCACACGCGCACGCGCTCGCACACACACACACACACACACACACACACACACACACACACACACAATCAGTTTTATACATCTGTTTTCCTGTTTTCTTTGTATGTCTCTTTTCCCCATCTTTTCTAAATATTTTTCTGTATGTCTAATTGAGCACCTCTGAGACGTGCCAAACAGTCAGTAGCTGGCTGTTTGAAGTGCCTGCAGGACTATTAGGGAGGGGGACGGGGGGAGGGGGGAGGGGGGGGTGACTGTTCATAATCTCTGTGATGTATATGGTCTATCGGTGATGATACACATCCGTCGTAGTGGCTTCCCTGGCTCAGTAGGTAGTGGGCACCAACAAACTGTGGGGTCTTGCTTGCTGTGTGAGTAGGGGATGGATTGCTTTGATCCGTGTTCAGTGTCTGGACTGTCTTGTCTCCGCCTTCGCTGCCGTGCTTCCCACCCGCTTGCCATGCCTTTCCCTGCAACTGGTTTGTTTGCTGTGTAGTTTGGCTGCCGGCTCTTCTTCCTTGCCAATCCTCTTCTTCTTCTTCACCTTCCTCGCCTCCTTTCACCCCGCTGTCTTCTTCTTCTCTCCTTTTTCTTTTTTTCTTTTTTTTCGTCGGCCTCCTCTTCACCTCCTAGCTATGGCCGCTTCTCTCCCTGCTCGGCCTCTCCCCCTCTGTCCTTCTCCCTCCTCCTCCGTCACTTCGTGGTACCGGCTCTGCGGCTATGGCCGCTGTCTTTCTTCTACGTGGACGCACAACAACTTCACGGGTACGTAACAGCCAATCTTGTATCGCTCATCTCTCTCTCTCTCCCTCTCTCTCTCTCTCTGTCTCGGTCTTCTTCTTCGTCGTGGTCTTCTTGCAGGTGCGCGGCGGCTTCTTCAACCTCAGGTCCGCTATGGCGGACTATCTCCTTCGGCTGCCACCTCGGCTATGGCGCATCAGGCCCTGCATACGACGGCGCGCATGGARTAGCGGGTACCAGCTCCRATMCCAATGCAATCAGACTCGTTCTCAAACACACTTTTCATGCATGTAAACAGCAACGCAGTATACTGGCGACATGCGCCCACTCAAAACTCAGAGGTATGGCTTTCAGATACGAGTTCACTC